TCTATCTATCTATCTATCTGTCATGTGATCCAACGCACCACCGGATGGTGATCAAATGACAGTCCTGTATACCAGAACGTGCAGCCTGGGGTCTCAATGCACGGACCAAGAGCCTGTGCGGATACACGAGAGCCCTCTGCTGGTCATGTGAATTATTTTAACTAAATGTAGTACTGAACATGCGGAATCATGAGAATCATCCATTTCCCTGTCTTCTCTCCATTGGCTCCTTGTTCGTTTTAGAATTTAATCTAAGATTTTACTTTTAGAGCATGTCTGAGTCTGGCCCTATGCTACATAGCAGACATATTGACCCTTTATAAGCCAGTTCACAGCCTTAGATCCTCAGGTGGGGCCCTTCTGACCAGGCTTAAATCTAAAGGTGACCTACTTTTGCCATCAGGGCCCTTCGACTTTACCTTAGACTCGACCTTTATGTGATGTCGTCTTTTCACTTTATTCAATCTATATTATTTTATTTTTTATTTTTACGGATTATATTCTGCTCCTGTTATTGTATTTTGGTATTTTTATTTTTTATATTTAACATTGTGTGTCTCACAATCATTATGCACTTTGTAAACCCTGTTTTTAAAAGGTCCTATATTAATTAAGTTATTATTATAATTGCTGTTGTTGTTGAACAATGTCAAAATAAGGCAGATTTTTTGGTTTTGTATGGAGAAAAGCCTCTCCAGCAGCTTGCAGTCCATTCCCAGACATAATACACAGTTTTAAACAGTTTCGTGTAAGGATATTAAGCTATTAGTGTTTTTTTTAAACAAAATCATAAAAATACATTACAAACAACTTGATTGTAGACTGTGCATAGAAAAAATAAAGATGATGATGAACGGGATTTACTGTAGTTTGCTGTGCAGTTCTACGGAAGAGTATTGCATTCTTGAACAGCACACTTGAAAAAATGCCCCATCTTCAACTATCTACCTCGAGTGGCAACTGCCGTTGAGGGTCGACAACCTAATGGATAATACCATCTAATGATCAAACAGGATCTCCCCATTTAAGACAAGTAACTTGATTGAACTAACAAAGCCGGTCATTTTGTTTCCACTTAATCGAGCTCTAAGATAAAGTCTTCCTAAACTCAGAAAGAATTCAGTCCAGGGAAAACAGGAAAAAAAAAAAATAATTATTCAAAAATCACTAAGAAATTTACTCGAAAAAAATCCACCCCGTAAAAATAATTACGTTCTGAAAAAGTTCCCAAAAAATAAACTTAATAACTCAGAAAAACAGAAATAATTACCTCCGTTAAAAAACAAAACCACACAATAAATTACTCCGGAAAAAACGCATATTACCTAAAACAGACAAATACTCGGAAACACAAATAATCATCCTAAAAATGAAAAAATAACAATTTACTCTCAGAAAACAGAAAATAACTTACTCATTAAAAATCAGAAAATACGCAGAAAACAGATCAAAAAAAAGTTCACTCAAAAAACAGACAAAAAAAAGATTACTCAGAAAAAACACAGCATATAATTACCCGAAAATTACAAACCACACAATAAATACTCAGAAAAACAGATAACTTACTTCCTAAAAACAGACAAAAAAATACTTCGGAAAACACAAATTAATTGTTTCATTCCAAAGATAGAAGTAAGGTCAAGGATCATAAGAGGGTCTAGCATAGCCACTTTGAAATAAACAGGAGCAATTACTACTTACTTTGATGACTCTCTCTCTCTCAGTCATTTTGTAGCAACATGTTAAAGGAAGTTTGTTTAATTGTGGTTAAACCCTTTTAATAGATTTAACTGTGACGAAATAATTTATATCATGCTCAGAATAATAATAGACAAACAGAAATACATCACAAGACATTTTAGAATGAGCTTTGAGTTAATGTTAGTATCACTCCAGGTTAAAAATAGACAGGAATAAAGTAGTTCACGATATATGATGTACAGAATATATATACAAGGCTTCAGATTCACAGATAAACATGAGCCATTATGTTCTGATTGGTAAAAAGTGGATCATTTAGTTCAAGCCGCATTTTAAAGCTCACCAGATTATATGATACTCAAAAAGCTTAGTAATAACAGTTACATCACACGCATCAAAAGTGGACTTTTTTGTTGCCAGAAACTTAAACCAGATACCAGCTCATCCCTCAAGACTTATTAGGCTCAAAATCATGGCATGATATTTTTCCCAGGGAAGTCAGTTATCACGCACGCTAAGGGTGGAAAACCCTCTAACATACAAACATACACTGTTTTAATTAAAACCTACCACATAAAACGCTTCAGGTACGTAACATCACCAGGGGAGGGTATTCGGTAGGTAGACAGGATATGGTGAGCTGAACTCCTGTTATATTCTCC